CATGAATCTTTTTTTGTCTCGTGCCTGTCTCTGTGGGTTATCTTCAATGGCATCCCTCCTGTCAGACCTTCAAATTACTGGAGGAATGGTAGAAATGGAGAAAACTGAAAATGGAGCAATGGCCCCTGAATGATTAGGGGTTTTTCATTTTCTGTTTTGTTATATGCTACTAGAGGCCCTGTGCATGAAACTCATGCACTCGGGGGGGAGGGTCCCTCAGCTCAGCCTGCGCCCTTTTGCAGTCCCGGGAGCCCTCGGGGGATATCCAACTGATGGCTCCCCAGGGGAGTGGGCCTAAGCCAGTCAGTCGGACATCCTGAGCTCTGCCAGGGAGGCAGGAGAGGCTCCCGCCACCGTCGCTGCTGTACTCTCCAGCTGTGAGCCTGGCTCTAGTCATGAGCCTGGCTCCTGTGTTGAGCGTCTGCCCCCTGGTGGTCAGTGCATGTCATAGCGAGCAGTTGAGTAGCCTTAGCATATCATTAGCATATTACGCTTTGATTGGTTGAACAGACAACTGGACGACCAGACACTTAGCATATTAGGTTTTTATTACATAGGATGGTTACAGTCCAGTTGAGTAATTGTTAAGCAGATGGAGAACTAGAAGACTTACCTAAAGCTGGAATAAGATGGTGGGCCCACATGGAGAGGAGAAGCTGGTAGGGAAGGAAGAGGAAGCACCTCCACCAGCCTGATAGAAAGCATGCATTCTGTCCGCTCACTCCCTTCTCCTGGCATGCATGGGTTCCACAGTCTGTCTGGATGCTTCAGAGCCTCCCTACTATCCACTGGCTTCATCACCGTGCCTGAGAGGATGGACCGGAGCCTTCCTCTGCTGGTAGAAATGGAGAAACTGGAAAATGGATCAATGGCCCTGCTTAACTAGGAGTCTCTGAGGCATCTACTACTTTAGCAACCGACTCTCTGAGATCGGAGCTTGAAGGCCTGGAGGGCTGTCTTAGAAGTGAACAATCACAAATCTCTATTTGACAAGGGGGCAATACAGTGTGCTTGAAACCCTCAGTGGCTGGCCCAATTATATCACTTTGGGGGCTCCATTGGCTAGTAACAACTACCAAAATTAGCATCTCTGAAGCTGGGTCCCAACCTTGTGGTTTCAATCCCTGGGCAGCAATGCAGGAACCATCCCATTCCACCAGGGCTTTAGGTGAACAGATCTATCTTCATCTCTGGCTCTAA